CTAAATTGTTTTTTTTTCGAAACAACATTTTAATCGACCGACCTTTCTCCTTTCAATCTGGTTTGAAGGATTGCGGTTTTCTGTTATGCTTTGATATTATACATCAGTACATGACCGTCTCGACACAGTGTTTATGACGTGAAATCAATGTAACATTTTGTGTAAAAGTAATTTCCACATTGCCAAAACAAATATATACCAACGGTATTATTATCGTCCTTGCCGGATCTCAGATCCAGCACTTATATCATATTGGTTTATCACCCCTATCCCTATGTCCGGTTAATTATTAACCGTTTAGTTAATTATTAGAAATTAAAATTTAATGCCGACAGATTATACGGTTGTAATGATTTCCAAAATATTTAATTGTAATAATTTAAATCGTTTGAGAGTAAACACTTAAAATGGAGTACGTTAGAAAATATGTAATAAATGTTTATAGCATTTATAGAAGTAATCTGTTGCGATTCAAACTATTATCATTCTACAAATAAAACATAGTACGACTGATAATAGTTGGTGAATTCATCTATTGGTTTTTTGTACTTTGCCTGGAACGCCAAAGAAGATTTTTTGTAGTTTGGCAGTTTTTTGTATATGCATAATTAATTATAGACATTTATCCGTCTTACCTGCACGCCTAGTGCAGGTACGTGGGTGGTTTGCTCTTACATTTTGGAAAATAGCTGTATAATATAATTCCCCGGCGTATAAAGTGTACGTGTCATTAGCGAGTAAAATACAAGTATACATCCTTGTGTTCGACTACGAGTTCGATGCCAGATTTATTATGATAGTATCCGTGTAGCGATGCTCTTCAAATAATAGATAGGAGTGGCTGCCGCACCATAATATTTATACTTTTTTATCAGTCCTTGTATAAAAACCGTGCTCAGCCGCCATAGTCGCCGTAGATTACTTATGTTATTGTACGATCACAGTTTTATTTGTAAATTAATTGTTAATCGCATCTCAACAGTATAATATCGTGTTGAAACTTTTAACTAATTACTATAATAGTTTAATCAATTTAAACAATTATTTTTATTCAAAATAGATAGATCATGATTTTTTAAAACAATATTATTACATATTTTTAAATTGTTGGCGGCTTTGGCGCCTCGGAATAAGATTGGACTATACATCACCAAACAATATGACTAAGTTTAATAAAATTCCAAATGGAAATTTATCTAATATGATTATTATATTATCAATATAGTAATATGAATATAATAATTTCAATCGATAAACCTACGCTTAATAACTGAGGCACCATGGTTTGTCAGTAATCATACTTCCCATACGAACCTAAATATACAAACAATACAAAAATAGCAACTCACCAATATAAAACCATCCATAATAAAACAGCAAATCATACAAGGCATTTAATTTCCAATTTTCATAATCTCACTAATACCATAAACCCAACCCGCCGCCTTAAAATAAGATGGCCAAACATCCTTCTTGAAACCATATAAGTAAGTCCTAAGTAAATAATTCGTAATTGAAGTTGAGTCACTGAACTCCTGCTTCCATAAAATTATCCGACTTCAAAAGAAAGGAACAGGTTCTCTATTTGACGTTGGGCAATGAAAATATCAAATATGTTCATAGATTTCTATTGAATAGAAGTAAAATTTGTGTTATTTATTTTTAATGTCAACGCAACACGATCAACTTGTAAAACTTAAAAAAATACAAAATAAATAAAAGTAAGGGAGGGGTAATTACTTTTAGGGTGTCGATTGTGCTGACTTAAAAATTAAATAAAAAAGTTTTGATATTTGTGTTAACAATTAATATTCAATTCTCGTATATTAACCTATAAGTTCCAAAGAGAACAATTAATAAAAAAATCAACAAGAAATTTAAAAAAAATTATTTCATACTTTTTTTCAGTACCAGACTTAATATTCATTAAAATGTACTAATTTTGTACGTAGTCGGTTTTTTTTAAATAATTGTATTTATTGTTGTAAGCATATTTTGTCATCGATATAAATATAATATCATTCGTGATGAGATAATTGTTTAAATGCATTTAATTTAATTTGTTGTCGTTGTTTGAAAATCCTTATCAATCCTTTTGAAAATATTACACTGTAAATCAATTGTAACAATAATTAATGATTTGAATTGTGTATAATTAGGGTTTGACCGGTTTTGAAATCATAATGTCAATATAATTTTCAACAACAGTGTTTTATCATTTGATAAAACCCCGTTCTATAATGCTCTGAAAACATATTTTTAAATATACTAAAAAACTATTTTAATAGTGAAATATTTTTTCATTTTTACATATTCTTGGTAAGACATGTTTGGAACACAAGTAAAAAGTGAAATTAAGTGGGAATAATATTATATACATTAAATTATCAATAAAAATTACAATAATTTAAAAAAAAAAATGTTCGTGATTTGTATTATATTGTTGTATATTTTTATTTAGTTTAAAACTAGTCAAAAATGTAAACCTAATTATATGCCTGCCTCACTGGCTGTAGGAGTAGTACATAACTATTTAGTTTGTTTTTGTACCCGCTTAATTTATTTTAGTTCAAACGCCAAAAATAACACCAGAAAATAAAACAAACAAAAATGTATTTTTACGTTTATTTTTAGATAAAAAAAAAAATAATAATAATAGTGAGGGTGCGGGTGAGAATAAAAAAATGCATTACATTTTACTATGTAATCAGCGACAGCATCACGTTACAGTACGGGCCGAGTTGTGCTAAAGAAGTGTATTGGATATAATTTCAAGTCGAAAAACCGCGTAGAACGAAAAATGAATTACAATGCAGCGGCGACAAATAGGGGGTGTTTATAGTTATATATATATTTTTTTTTTAACGTATTATGTACAATTTATATTAGCGTTGTATTATTTTCAATTTCGGGCGACGGCGAGACAAGTAAAAATTAGCGATCCGACTGCGCTTATAAATTAAATCAGACGTTTTCAATTAAATCCGTGAAAGTTTGTTTTGGAAACATGTGTTTTTACATGCGGCCAGGCTCCCGTTGGACATTGGTTTTCGGCAAAGGGATATCCGCCGCTGTTCCCGCCCCGTCCACTACACACAGGACGAGGCTCTCCCGTATAAATCAGACCGATCGTTGCCGTACCCTTTAATTTGTCCGATGCATATAAGGGTATAAATCGATCCCGGATCGCGATTAATTAATGCGGTTATCGGCGGTCGGACGTTAGTTGTTGCTATACAGTGTGTACGAATATATTTGTTTAATATATTTATATACCGGCCCTTCGTATCCCTCCCACCCCCTATCAAACAGAAAACGAGCGGCTTATTTTCTATCCTAGCCGAAAACAACGTTTCGGTGGTTTATTTATTTAGTATTTTGTTTTTGTTTTACTCCCCCAAGAGGAATTGACTCGTACACATTTGTATTGCTCGCTTTCATTTCATTTTCTACATCTCTCGGTCTTCTCGAAAACCATACCGCGTCTAGACAAATCCATCGAAGCCAAATCACTTTAGCCCGTCTCGCACACTTGTATGGTTTATCTAAAATGTATTAGAGCTGACCCGACTTTGTTTTCATCCCCTCGGATACACCTCGTGGGTTTCGTCAAAGTCTATTTCAGTCGCATAATACGTTTCCCTCAAACGTGTAATTTTGGGACTGTGCGTTGTGTTCCATAATATTTTGCAATACTCAGCTGCTACCATCGATATATCATCTATATATACCTATATATATATATATAGGTATTATTATAGTATTATGGTTATATATTATATTCTATTCATTTTATCCACGTGTTGTAATAAATAATAATAGTTACAATAATATCTTTCCAACGTTGTTTATTTATTTTAAAGAATAACATATTATAATAATTTAATAATATAACCAGCCATACAATTTTCATGAAAAATTAGAGATTTTGTCGGAAAAAAGCTTATTCTTCGTGTCTATGGTATTCCTACAAAAGTTTATAAGTTTGTATACAAAATATATTTCTGACACCTTTCGTTTTCCACAAAATTAAAATTTAATTTGACTGAAATCTGGGACATATTTGGTGACTTGGTGGATTAAGATACTTTTTTGGTTATCTAGAAACTTGTAAACACATTTATATTTATTTAAACTTTGATTTGTTTACTTTAACTCGGTTAATTGATGTTTTTCCCTTGCTATACAACTACATTCGCTCTAATGTCATATATTTATAATAATATTAATCATTTAATTTGTCGTCGTCGTCAAAAGAACCGACCGAGTAAATAGTATTCACTATTCACCAATTAAATCTGATCCTTAAGTAACCGAAATGTAACAATGTAAACATTAATAAAATAGCTGTACGTCAAATCTTTACACATCGAAATGTTTAATTTTTTTTTTCAAATTCTAGAAAAATGATCAATTTTGTTGGAAAATACTTATTGTTATTTATGAAACTTTGGTGATTTAGTATAGAACAAATTAACTCAATCGAATACAACGGCACGGAGCACACTATATAGTATAATGACTATTGTGCTACCTAGTCGTTTGCAGATTTCGCGCATCTCCCGTGAGTTGTCGATTTGAATTTATTCAGTGTACTTAACCCGAGACCTTAATTATGAATTATAACATATGACCTACTATGTCCAATGGTTTGTCTGGCTCGCCTTGGAAACGTTTTACCACGTTATCACGTGCCACGCGAGACAAACGATAGTAGCATATACAGCTGCCCCCGGGCTGTACGTGTAAAATCCAAACAAAGAGAACAAAAATACAATTCAATATATCTCCGGCGGTGAGAAGCTGGCTATACAGAGATTTTCCACTTTGTTTGTAAGCCCCCAATAGCCCCGACTAATAATATATCAGTTTACTCTTTCCTATATCTATATCATGTACACGGTTGTCGGAAATCACCAACGTGATTTAATAAAGTGTAACGTGGGGATGTGTGTGATAATAATGAAAACAATAACCGTGTTGTGTGGTGTGTGTTTCAGCCGATGGTTTCGAGCCGGATTTCTTGTTTCCACTGGAGAACGTGACCATAGCCCAGGGCCGAGACGCTATATTCACGTGCGTGGTCAACAATATCGGTGGTAACAGGGTGAGTGCTCCCGAAGGCGACTTCACACCAGCCAGGGTCGGTATCAAAAAACAATTTTTATTTTCGTTTTATTCAAAAAACCAATACTCTTCGCATTCCGGCTTCGTCTATCCGCACACCAGCGTTGCACACACAGCTGATATCGACTTTGATAACACTGTTGTTGTTGATGAGTATCGACACACCGTTAACATTATTTTTGCTGCACCAAACTGTTTTTTGATAATAGTACTTGCTGTACCGGCAGGCCTTATGCACGCAGACCGCGGAAACGGCGATGGTCTTATACAATACATTTGACTCGAATAAAATACAAAAATATATTATGTCATATTATACTACACTGGTAACACATGAGGCGTCTTGTTTCGAAACCAGATAAAAGCAATTTTTGAAAATGTTCTCAAATAACTAATAATTTTTTTCATATGGGCGATTTTAAAACCAACCAAGATTTTCCCAGCTCAGTTTGAGTTAGTTTTACATACCATGTAATACAGTGTGGCCACTTAAAAACGTTTTCAAAATGTTTTTTAGTTGGTTTTCAAACTAAACGCCTCACATATAATATCTTACTTCCTTGGAATTGTAATCGTTACCTTCGAGATGATATTATTTTAAACTTAAAACATTGTTAATTCTGATTTCTACTATTATAAACAGTATATATACTATAGTTGTAGGACTAAAATAATTAATGACATTTTTCTTTTAACTATTTCTATTTGTATGTCAATATATTCCGACTAAAAAAATAAACAGTTAATACAGTTTGAAAAATATTTTAAGTTTTGTGGTACTATATAACGTTAGATGTTTGGTCGGTCATAGTTATAATCAATATTTACATATTTTCTTTCACGTTTAGAAACACTCGATAGTCAGAAAGAAAAAACTTTTAAAATCCATACTAAAAACTATTTTGAAAATTTTATAGAACAATGTTTTTGCCCATATTTATAAAAAATGTCCAACCCTATTCAAGTTTTATGTTTTTTTTTGTAAAAAAACAGGTATATTATGCAATTAAAATATAAAATCCAAGAAAGTAAGTTTAAATCCAACAAGCGTTATGTATTATATAATTATGTATGTAATATAAATATATTTTTAGGTTAAAATAAAAAACGAATTCAAGTATAACAATCGCTTGTAATAATTGAACAATTAATTAATAATTTCAGATACTAGAAATTATTTTAATACACATATTAGCAATAGTAGTAATCAGTAAAGTTTTAGATACGGGCACTACAAAATTAAGTAACAAGTTCTCAACTGAACAGCAGTAGTTATAGGATTAGGGGTGCCAATAGAAAATGTCAATTTTCATAATTGTTCAATATAAAGAAAATATAAATTCAAATTTTATTGTAATCCCGAAAAAAGTTCCTTAAAAATATATTTATTTTAAAAGATTCTTTTTATATGAAGAACATTCAAAGTTGTATAAATCAATTATATGTGGCTACTTTACTGCGCTGATTAAACTTTTAGACCTATTTGTAATATTTTGGATGATAATTTGAATACTAGTCGTTATTAAATAGGACATTTCTCTTTTTAACCTAATTGAGATATATTATGGCTTATATTAGATGTAAGTAACTATTTATACTTGTGTTCACTTTATCACTTTTATTAATAATAATTCCTGTGAACTCTCCGTCCCCACTATGCCCCGACCTCACTATGCTCCGTCTCCACTATGTCGCGACCCCACTGTACTGACTTTTTAAGATTTCAGGTGTTTATGTGAATATATACAAAATCTGCGAAAAACACAGTTTTCTGGCAATTTAAGAAAAACTGTAGTTCCGAATTTTTTCTTTGTTTATTATGTTATGGATTCATATGAGTTCTAACTCCTGGCAAATTTTCAACTTAAAGACCCTAAAATTACGGCTAAAAAACCCAAAAAACAAAAAAACTTGCAAGTGGGTATAATCTAAATTTTAGACTATTGACGTACACGGGAGCATACTAAATAAATATTTCTTATAAATTTCAACTCGATCCGACTCTTTTTCTCAAAAATATAGCCAGTAAAAAAAAACTTGAAATTTTTTTTTTTTGTTTTATCAAATTTTAACTGTGTAGAAGTAAACTTTTACCCCCCCCCCCCCCCCCAAAGTACCAACTATATGCAATTTGTGATTTATAGAGTTGCTACTCGAAGGGATTGATCCAGTATTAAAAAAGTTACAGTGCATACAAACAAAAAAGAGCCCACATCATTGTAAAACCAATAGCATCGCTGTTTCGCATCGAAGCTAAAAGTACCAGTGAAACTCAAATAGAATTATTTCCGTTATAATGTTATACCAATATACATTGTACGTAATATTATTGAAACAAGACGTTGTCAAAACCAATGTTAGCACTTCCAATTGTACTGTTTACAAGGTGTGTAGTTATTTTGTATTATTCTTTTCGAAAGTCAATAACGAACTGCGTTATGATTTGGAACCAATTTTTAGCAATAGTATGGGCTTTTCGAAGTACGTATATTGTGTTTTCATCCACAAAACAATCCTATAAAAACAAAAAAATATATAAACTATACCGGTGTAAGGTGTAGGTATAGCGCCGATGATTGAAAGTACAATGTTTTTTCTTTCTTTTTAACGTCGTCACGTTTACCTAGTGTTTATCTTGTGGAGATCGATTCGAAGCCATTATTTTTTTGTCGCTCAACTTGGTACATATAAATTAAACAATTTTTTCGGTATACGATTCGATTGTGTGCAATCGGTCGGTTTTTTTCTTATAATCGAATACAACAGTACTACTAAGGGTATAACGATAATAATATTGTAAGACAAATTTTGCGCCTTGAGACAGTAGCCAAAAAACCTCTTTCGCCGAGTGCACCGGAGCAACTACAGAGCGGCATTAACTGTCTTTCATTATAATATAAACTTCCCCCAACATGTTGATCCGCTTATCGGCTCACGCATCGCCGGCCGCCGACGTGTATACCGCGTTTGCATCGATCCGATTTGAAATAACGAAAACTTTGCCTGTCCCACCCTCGGCAAATTATTGAAACTACTCAAGGTGGACTGTCTTCTCTCACCCCCTCCACTTCCCCCCACTTGCCCACGTTTTATCCCTAGTGCCATTTCCATCCTTCTGAGAAAATCCCGTCTTCGGCTGCCGTCAATAAATTCTCTTTATGTGTGTATACACAATCTTCTTTCGCACGTCCCCCAGGTATATGGTTATCAGTGGCGTATTTCCAGGGGGTGGGGAATTTTTATTGGCAATATTTAAGAAAAAAGTTGTTTTAATACATTTAGACCAAATCAATTTAATTCCAGGTTAATTTTAGCTTCACCGTATTAGTTTCAACATGTATAATGTTTTCTATGAGTTAAAATCATTTTAGCCTTACAAAATTACGCCTACTTAAAATGGTCGGACTTTAATACTATAAAAATATTCGAGCACGTCGGCCTTTTTTCCAGGTGTGGAAGTCGATTTTGGAATAATTGGTTCATTTACTTAAAAAAGACAACTGAATACTAAAAATTTGAGAACTCAAAAAAAGATTTAAACACTATTTTAATTGAAACATCAAAAATCGATTCACACTGGAACCTAGAGGCCGGTAAACTCGACAATTTTTATAGAATTAAAATTGGACCATCTTAAGTAGGCGTGATTACGTAATTATGTACCTACGACTTTTTTTCCGCAAAACCAATAAAATTCGACTGATGTTTGCCGTCGTTATTGTATTTACATTGTGGGAAGATGCGAGGTGTCGATGATAATTTTATAGACGCCGAATTCTAATCCGGCTAATATATACCTATTATTATAATTTTGTCCTAGGTTTTAGATATTTTACAATCACGGATCACTCGACGTGACAAACTTGTATACTGCGGTTACACAGTAAATACTACAAAATTTACTGCGTAAATGCCGCAAAAGAACTGTTGACAAACCCATGCTTGTACCGTATACATCTTAGAACGTGTTTTCGCGGTTGTTTGCCTCTTGAATTTTACATCGAAATATATTTCGTTTGTTGTTTATTTGGAATCCGAAAAAAAAAAGAGAAATGACTGGAGAAAAATGTGTTTCAGACCTAGAAAGATACTGTCGTCGTACTGGGGAGTTGTTGAAGTGTAATCTGGGAAAAAACAATATCGTTGTCAAAGGTGGCCGACAACCAAAGCGTTTGGGCTGTTGTAAGCGTTCGCCGCCGCCAGTAAAGAATTCACCATTATCCCGCATTCTCGAAATGTTCAATGTTATTTTGTCCTCCTCTTCTTTTTGCATTCGGTCGCTTTCCCCGACGTTGTTCAGCGGTTTCTCTTGTACTTTACTTAACTCGCAAAGGGATTGTTTATTAAATGAAATGAACAAAACCCAAAATGGCTAAAACTCATTGATGTGACAAACGTTCCTTGCGTCGGCCTTTACCTGTAGTATACATACCTGTAGTATCATCGCAACCGATTTCATTAGTTTTCGTCGAAACGGACGCGGTTGTACTGTGAATTCTATGTACTATATTTTTTATTTTTTATTCAATTTTCTAGCAATTGTTAAGTCGTCGTCGTCGTTTTTATAAATATTATATACATTTTGTCCTCTTATAGTTTTAATTATATCATCGAGTCATCGAGGTCTTAGTCGTCTATGTAATTATAATGAATTATGTTGATCAACTTCAATTATTAAAATTAAAACTAGGTAGGTAGATTTAACGTTTTTTCAATTTTTTTTTTTTTTTAACTTCGGATACACATTGCATTTTTTATTAGTGAAATAAATTATTTGGTAATATTTGTAAATTAAATAATCGCAGATACTTTATTAATAAATATTGTATGAACAAAAAAATGACTTAATTTCTTAAAAGTGGTTCAAGGCGAAAGTCTTTGAATCCGCTTTGAAACGATTTTAAAAGTTTATCTCGATGACGTTTTAACTTTTAAGAGTTACCATCTAAATCACTACTTTGTATTGTGGTTGATTTAAAAAAAAAAACAAAAAAATTAAGGTAATATATTTTAGAA